CTGTATGTATTGCCTGGACTTCCAGGCCTTCGTTTGAAATCTGGGTTGAAGCCTCCAAGGATCCCGCATGACTCTTGAATCCTGCATTGTTATAAGACCAGCAAAATGCAGACAAGTTCCAGGAGAGGACTCCAGACTGTCTGTTCTGGCACTGTACCACATATGTAGCAAAATTTCCAGGGACTTATAAGATGGTGTCCTGATTTGAACGAGAACTGTCCCCCCACAGGCTCTAAGTATTTGAACATCTGGCCCCCAACTGGTGGTGCTGTTTTGCAGGTGTGGCCTGGCTAGAGGAAGTACGTCACTAGGCCAGGCTTTGAGATTCATAGCCTGGTCTCACTTCCAGTTTTCTTCTCTCTGCTTCCTGCAGGCACTTGAAGGTGTGTGGCTCAGCTTTCTACTCTGGCTGCCCCCTGCCATGCCTCTCCTGCCATGATGGACTCTCATCCCTTTGGAATCATAAGCCAAATAAACGATTCCTCTGTGAGTTGCTTGGGTCATACTGTTTTATTGCAGCAACAGAAAAGGAACTAATACAGATGGGTGTGTGAACACCTTGAGTATAGTGGACTTGAGTGTCCTAGCAGTTGTTCCATGCACGTCCTGTACATGTTTTACATGTTTTTCAGCAATTTGAATGCTCTAAGGAATTTTTAGTGTCATGAAAGTTCCCCTATTTTCTGTAGTGCTAAAGAGATGAAGTGGGCAGAGCCACCCTGGTTTTCCTCTTCTCTCCCAATGTGTAAGTAGATGTTTTCCTAATCTTCCTTCCTCCCTGAGTCTCATGAATTAATTTTGGATTAATTAATCCTAGATCAACCTTATTGGCTAAATTCTCAGAAAATTAATGAATAACAGACTTCAAACTTGTACATATACACTTCACCAGGAAGAGTTAGGTCATGTGGTTGCTGAGGGTTCAATATAAGTAAACATAAATATATCTTTTTAAAATACATTTAACTATGATTTGACATTACTTTAAATATATTCTGTATTTGTGTTAGTTGATTTTTTGTTGCTGTGCTAAGACACCATGATCAAGAAAAGTTATAGAAGCAAGTTTATTTGACTTATGGTTCCAGTGGAGAGTTCATAATGAGGAGAGCAGGGCAGTAGGAGGTGACTGGAGCAGAGAGCCGAGAGATCACAACTTCAAGCAGACACAGCAAACCAGGAAACAAAGAGGAAGGAATTTAAGAGCTTAAGCTCCCAGTGATGTGCTTCCTCCATTAAGGCCACACCTCCTAAAACCTTCCAAAACCCCACCATCAACAGGCAACAAAATGTCCAAATATTTGGAGCCTATGGGAGGCATTCTCATTCAAACCACTACAGCGTTTAATGTGGTAATTAAGAACAGATTAAGACACATATGCAGCAAGACTCAGGTGCTAAGCATAGTTTATTGCTATTTTAACATTATTACTTGAAACTATACAAAAGAAATACTGCCTCTCCGTAGACAATCTTCACAGCAAATGTTAATTGTGTTGGAATTCTTGTTCACAGCTAGCAAGAGCCTTCAGCAGACTCTGGAAAGCGAGGTCACATGTGCAGAGCTGAACAGCACTGGGAAAGTGCCCTCCTGAGCACCTGCAGTGAGAGCTCTGAAAGCCAGGGGAGTTCAGGCTGCAGAAAACCAAGCAGCTGAAGCGGAAAGAGGACCACAGCAAAGCACAGACACGCACTAGAAGAGGGGCATGGAATTCTGAAACAGATTTCCATTTCCCAACCGCGCTTCCCCACTGTGAGGAGCAAGTGATCAAAAGAACTTGGTGGCGGCCGGCCCCTGGGCCATGGAGGGATGAGGTTAGCAAAGGTTGAACCCAGCCTGTCTGAACCCACCAGCAGGGGGCAGCACAGCATCAAAATACAGACAGCTGAAGCCGGATAAGGGATCCTAAGCTTGAGAAATCTACACTTTCCCCTCTGCCTTTGCTCCATGCAGCAAAGAATCATCGAGACCCAGGAAGCACATAACACAGAACTTGGAATGTGGTGCACCTCTGGACTGGAGCACAGGTTCCAAGCTGTAGACTGTGGAGACAGCAGAGATGTGGTAAGGGAATCTGAAGCTGAGGAATTCTCACCCTTGCCCCCCTTAGGGAGGAGCCATAAAGATCACAGGAAGTTTGAGATGGAACTTGAGGTATCCTGTTGTGTCTTCCATTTATTTTATTGCGTGTGTGTATGTGTGTGTGTGTGTGTGCGTGTGTGTGTGTGTACTCATGTGCATGCTACAGTGTGTATATGAAAACAACTTTCAGGGGTCAGTTTTCTCCTTCTGCCTTTCTGAGTCAAGGTCTCTCGTGTTTCTGCTACACAGCATCCAGAAAAAAAAATATATTTTACATTTTATTTATTTTTTTTATTTTATGTGTATGTGTGTATTGCCTGCATGTAGGTAAGTGCACCCGTGTTGTGCAGTGCCTGTGGAGATCAGAAGAGGCTGTTGGAGCCCCTGGGACTGGAGTTAGGACAGTTGTTAGCTGCCATGTGGGTGCTGGGATTCGAACCCAGGTCTCTGCAAGAACAACCAGTCTTCTTAAATGATGAGCCATCTCTCCAGCCCCCAGAAAAATATTTTTAAAAGATGCATATGTGTAAAAATATATCAAAAACAAAAATTAAGGATTTGGGGCTGAGTCAGTTAAGAGCACTGGCTGTTGTTGCAGAAAACCGAGGTTCAACTCCCAGCATCCACATGGTGGCTAACAGCTGTCTGGAGTTCCAGGGGATCTGAAGTCCTCTTCTGGCCTCTGTGGACATTGCACACATGTTGTGCACTTACATACTTGCAGGTAAAATACTCAAACACATAAAATAAAAACAGCTTTAAAATACTAGATATGGGGGCTGGGGAGATGGCTCAGTGGTTAAGAGCACTGACTGCTCTTGCAGAGGACCCAGGTTCAATTCCCAGCACCCGCATGGTGGTTAACAACCATCTGTAGCTCCAATTCCAGGGGATCTGATGCCTTCTGATCTCTGCAGGCATTACACAACTCTGGTGCACTTATACAGATGCAGGCAGTGCGTTCATGCACATAAAATAAACACCACATATGAATTGCCTCCTATGAAGCAGGTCTCAAGTCCAGTCAGAAAGTGGTTGGTTGTCCCATGGCACCAGGGGGTACAGATTTCTTGGCAGGTGATATGAATAATATGCTTTTGAATGAGTAAATGAAGAAATCAGAGGAATTAAAAAATTCCTAGAATCAAATGAAAACAGCACAACCTACTAGAACATTTGGGGTACAGCCTTGACAATCAAAAAAGGAAAGTTTTAGCTCTAAGTGCTCACAGTTAAAAAAAAAATAGAGGGCCAGATGTGGTAGCCCTTTAATTCCACCATTTGGGAGGCAGAGGCAGGTAGATCCCTGTGAGTTCGAGGCAAGCCTAGTCTACATAGCGAGTTCCAGGTTAGCTGGGGCTACAGGGAGACCCTGTCTCAAAAAGACCCGCCCCCCAAATAAAACAAAAATTAAAAAAACCACACACACACACATTTCAAAAATGAACATCAAGGTTCTAGATACAAGAAAACTCAACGCAGTAGATGGTAAGAAATAATAAAGCTCAAGGCAGAAATCAATCAACGAGAGACTTAAGTAACAATACATAGACGTAATCAAACAAGGAGTTGATTCTTTGAAAACAGCAAAATCAACCATCCATAACCTCACTAACTAAAAGAAAGAGGGAGAAGACTCACATCATTAAGATTGGAGATGAAAAAAAAAAGTTGTTACAATAGATTCCCATGCAATCCAGATCATTAAGGAATACTTTTGAAAATTTATATTCCAGCAAGTTAGAAAATTTAGAAGAAACGGATAAATTTCTAAATTCATATGAACTACTGAAATTAAAACCAGAAGATACAAACAGAAGATGTATGTCAGAAAATACCAATCTACAAACTTAATATAGTTCCATTATAATTCCAAAGACAACTCTTACAGAATTAGAAAAATATCCAGACATTCATATGGAAACACAAACACCACGGAGAGCCAAATCAATCCTAAACATAAAGGACACAGTATAATATTGGAAGTACAATAATATCTGACCTCAAACTATACCAGAGACATAGTGACAAAGCCAGTATGCGCCTGGCTTAAAAGCATACACGTGGACCAATCAAACACAATGGAGGATCCAGAGAGAGATCCACGCAGTTATGGAAATCTAATTTTTAAGTATATTTTATTATCATATATCAATTATCCACAATAATGAGTTTCATTATGACATTTTATACTTTTATATAATGTATATTGATCATCTTCACCCTCTCTTGGCCCCTCCCACTCCCACTGATCCCCTTCCTCTTTCCAACTAGCCTCCTTTTCCTGTCTTTCTGGGTTTCTTGTTTTGTTTTGCTTTTGTGACTCCGTTTCAGTGGGGTGGTTTATAAGAGCAGGGGTAAGGGCTAAGATAAATGAATCATATGAAAGTTCTACTATTTATTTCTTAAGGACTTTCTATGCTATTTTCCACAATATTTATACTAATTTACATTCCCATCAGCAGAGTATGAGAATTCCCCTGTCCATATTCTCACCAGCATATGCTATTTTAAAAGGGAATATATTTTAAAAATATTTTATTTATTATTTTTATTTTATGTGTTTGAATGTATTGCCTATGTGTGTAATGTGTGTAACCTGTGTTGTGCAATGCCCCTGGAGGTCAGAAGAAGGCATTGGATTCCCCTGGAACAGGAGTCACAGACGGTTTATTAAAGTCATTTGCCAATTTTTAATTTGGATTATTGACTGTTGACTTGTTTGTAATGATTGTGTTTGGTCAATTTTCAATTTTTTTTGGTCTTTTTTGAGATAGGGTCTTCCTGTAGCCCCAGCTGTCCTGGAACTTGCTATGTAGAGCAGGCTGGCCTTGAACTCACAGAGATTCGCCTGACTCTGCCTCCCAAGTTCTGGGATTAAAAGCGTGCACCACCACACCTGGCAATATTATAATTTTTATGTTCTCAGAAACTTCTTCAAGGAATGTTTCATATTTTTGTTCCTCAGACTATAGATTATAGGATTAATGAGTGGAGTAACCACAGAGTAAAACAGAGTCACAAGCTTCTGCATTCCAGCTTCATGCTCAGATGTTGGGCTCAGATACATGATCATCACTGAGCCATAAAAGAGTGAAACCACTGTCAGGTGAGACCCACATGTAGAGAAGGCCTTTCTTCTTCCAGATGTTGAAGGAACTCTAAACACAGGTCTCAGGACCAGAGCATAGGACCCCATGATGCAGAGAAAAGGAAGAAACAGGAGCAGAGAACTTAGAATTGTCCAGAAAACTCCATCATTGGGGCTCTGGAACAGGTGAGTGCTAGCAGAGGGCCTGGGTCACATAGGAAGTGGTCAATCATCCTGGATCCACAGAAGGATATCTGGGAAATGATGATGATGGGGACCGGGAACCAGAGGAAACCAAGTACCCAGCAGCTGGTCACAAGGATGTTGCAGAGGCGCCCAGTCATAAGAGTGGGGTAATGTAGAGGCCTGCAGATGGCAAGGTACCGATCAAATGCCATAACTGCCAGGAAAAAGCACTCTGTCGAGCCCAAGGAGAAGAAGAAGTAGAACTGCAGAAAGCACCCAGAGAAGGAGATGACCTTGGTGTCGGAGAGGAAGTTGGCCAACATATTGGGGACTGTGGAGGTGACATACCAGATCTCCAGGAAGGAGAAGTTGGCCAGCAGGATGTACATGGGGGTGTGGAGTCTCTGATCCCAGCGCACAGCACAGATGATGGATCCATTGCCCATGAGGGTGAGGAGGTAGACCACGGAGAAGAGCACAAAGAGGAGGATCTGCCCCTGCCTTGGGCAAGGGAAGCCCAGGAGGATGAAGCCAGTGATGGTGCTGGAGTTGCTGGGGTTGCTGAGGCTTTTCATGTGCCTGTGAGCTGTGAAAGCACCAGA